AGTTTACCATTTCACCTAGTTTCTTTTCTATAAAAGAGCTTGCCATTTCAGCCTGTTTTTTTTCTATTAACATTTACCTTATGAGTTCTGAAAAGTTGCTTTTGTAAATATTTCTAATCTAGATAGTTTGAAGTACCAGTTTAAAAAGGCTCCCTTCATGATGAGATAGCCATGATAATCATAATAAAAAGCAGGAATGCGAATTATCTTCAAAACTAATCTCGAATTTAAAGTTCTTGTGTCTCATTTAAGGGATTGATGCATCAACGATAAGCAATGTTACATAAGTAATTAATACTTCCAGTAATCTACTGCGACCAGATTTATGACAGGTTTTTTATTTTTTTTTTATTGCAATCAGTTTTGTGAATCAAACTATCTTGTAAAATTAAACTTACAATGTTTAATTTCCTCTAACATCCTCATAAAATGAATAAATGTCAATGATGTAACTGATATGTACGTACACTTAAGCTTACAATGTCAAGCATAAGCGATTCTTTTCTTGAGAAGTAGTTCGCATCCGTTCCATTGCAGTTTAAAATACTTTATTTCAGCAGTCGTTTTGAAAAGCAAGAATTATGCTATCTACATATAAAGGTCAACAATTAGCGTGCTTTGCTCTTTATGTATTTATGCCGAATTTTTTTAATCGTCCTTTTTGTGTTCTCAGGTCTGAATGGACAAGATACAAATATAAAAGTATTCAATATGTGAGTGTGTGTGTGTGAGTGTGTATGTTCTTTTCAATTATAAATCATGCATCATTATGTCATCTGTAGCATATTGTTACAGTGAATTACGTTGCCTTAATACCAATATGTCATACTACCATATAATACGCTATATATGTCAAGTCCTTGGAAATAATTGTATTCATATGGAAACATGTTGCATAACAGCACGACAGCAATTCAAGCTATAACTATATGAGATGTTTTATACTTTATATATCTCGAGTTAATACTTACGGCATTTTTCCTAATTTGTTGTTTCCACTGTTAAAACATTCCTTTTCATTTACTGAACATATAACCTTGTGAAGCAAAACTTAGATGATTGGTTAAATCATGTGAGTTCCTCAAATACTTAAGCCAAACTGCTTGTCTAGGTAGTTATTCTGCTTTAATAGACCTTTTCCAAAACGGAGTTATCGCTCGAACTCCGGCTGAGTCATATAAAAGACCTACAAAAAGTGATATTAGCAGCTGTCCTGTTGGCTATCAGTATTAAGATTTGCACTGATTGGCCTGATGTCATGATAATGTGACTGGGTTATACAAGAAGCTACATGGATGCGGCATGATAACCCAGTGCTAGACATCACTACAAACGGCTACATTGCAGACATCGTAGCGATATGGCCGAAAAGTGGTTAATGCAACGCTAAAATTCCAAATCACAAGCAAAAGACACAAAGAGAGTTACTTCCCTTTTCTGTCTTTTTGCTGCTGCAGGCAGACTCGTTAAAAATTATTTCCCTGTTCTTTATTCCTCTTCTCGTAACTGTTCATCTCTATATATTTTACAATCATAATTTCTAATCTGCTTTTCAGCAGAGGTATAACTAAAACGAACACATTCAAAAGTACATACGCATAACATCAAGCAGAAAGGAAAGAAAAAAAAAACGGTATTCTATCCTATAATCTTTGGATACTGTCTTGTGGTATGTCCGATAGTTATTGGATACTGACCTGTATCTATCAAGTAGTTCTGAGATACTGACTTGTATTATATCCGGTAGTCTTTGGATACTGACTTGCATTATATCCGGTAGTCGTTAACTTACATTATATTGTATTATATCATGTAGTTGTTGACTTGTATTATATCCGGTAGTCTTAGCATACTGACTTGTTTTTTATCCGGCTGTCTTGTATAATAACTTGCACCCATCTTGAGTTACTTCTATAGCTCACCACAGCTATTCACTAATTTTCTCATGGGGATTAATTTGTAGGGTCTTCTCGGAAGAATTTCTTGTTAATTTAGTATAACAAATGATTTATAAAATATTTATGAGCCTTTAAGATTTTGTTTTAACGACACGACGATCTTTGTATAACGCTGTTCCTATGGGTCATGTAATACACTGCCTCTTAGTCAGACAGCTTTATAATGAGAGATATACGTTAGCTGCGCAATAACGAAATGGGATTGATGATTATACCTGCCTTAAAAAAGGAACCCTGTCATAATGAAGCACCTTATAAAAACGAACACCTGACTAAACTAGGAACCTGCCTGGAACATACTATAGTAAGAATTATTCATCTAATTTTAACAGGTATAGGTGTTGTGATACATAAGTAAATGAAATCATGTAAGTCCTGCGCATTATCGATTTTACATAGGATCAGATTATTTCACTGCCATGGTTATTGTATGTCCTAATCTTTCATCAGTATCATTTGATAGCAACTATATGCTCAACATTTTCTTAAAGTGATCATTTCTTTCGAACTGTTGTAAATCAATTGTCCATATCGCTTTGTTCATAAATAACCTCAATATCTTTCTGGAATAGATATGTCTCAAGACTTATAATTCCCTCTAGTATTTTGCAGGCATCGAGGCATTACATTTATACTCGTAAATCTGGTCTAAATCTATCTGTCGTTGAGAAAATCACACCATATATAAATTATAGTCCTTCACAGTGTTTCATGGGACTAAAAATAGTAAAGCCTGGAATTATTCCACATCAAATATTTCACTTACTGTTATATAGTTATCCGGGATTCTCGTTGGAATATTTCCCCACCACGCACACTATTCTAACATTTCCTTATATGCAGGCCATAATCACTTTTTGCAACACATTAACCCACCTCAGTTCAACAAATCCTGCTAGGTGTCATTATAGCCTAACCGGCTGTTCCTTGTGTATCTTTAATGTAAACAAACTGATGTAGACGAAATGACCAACAAGATACCTTTTTGATCCCAAAAAAGGACATTTTACATCCTACCGTTTCTACAGCACAACAAGGAAAAGCAACTTTCCATACAATATTATCAAATTTCAGGTCTCGTTCAAAATTATTACCATGTCTATCATTTGCCTATAAGTTTCTTGCAAATAGACCATGTAACCAAGGCACTATTTCTTTTGAATATCGTTCTGATTAAGTTAAAAATCAAGCTGGCGGGGGCATCGGTGTGTGCTGTGGGTTAGGGTGTTAGTCCATGAAAACTAGTCACGGCACTGTTCACATTCTGCTTGGAACGAATCATAACTCTCAATCTGATTATATTGGTGGACTTTTTATTATTACTTTTTATACATATAATTATGTATTATTATATGCAAAAGTGGAAGAAAGGGATGAACGCGTTGAACTTTTTATCACGTGACGAGCTCATAGCCAATGGACTTCGGACCTTCTAATTAATATTATCCTTTCATACATATATATGTATAAACCTTACTCATTTGTAACTTATCACATTGCCTATATCTAGTTGGGCTGTCAAATGAGGCCATTTTTGGGCCAATTCATTCTACAAAATAGATGACTCATACAATATATGTAGCGATCTCCAGATTCAATATATTAGTTACTTGTAGCTACAGTAAATGAGAAACTGTTACCCTTAAAATGCATATTCTTACACAAATCAGCCTGATACGAATTCTGGTTACACTCTGGAATAGCCTATTAAAATTTACAGCAGATCCGTCCATGTAAAAAAAGAAAACAAAAAAGTGAAAATATGAATCGACGACATTAAAGCGATTTGATTGGATGATGTGTGCTAGATTTTGATGACGTGAAAACAATTTTGGGTTTGAACTTTGAAAAGACAATCTTTCTTGTCAATTCGTTTTAAAATATATCCTAGTAATTTGGGAGTATACGGTAACAAGAGTCGGGATAGCGGCAAAGCAAGACCCCACAACGAGGTTTATTCTATCATATTCATACATACAATTTAGTAATGCGTCTCACTGAACTTTTGACGTTTGAGCGTGAGTTATGGGAGTTCTGGGTGGTCAAGGCCGCACCAAATGTAGTACTCTCTGCTAAAGAGAGATACCCCGGTAAGTGAAGGGGGGGGTGAAACTAGGGGAAATCAAGTTTGGAAAATCTGATAAAATGTATGCGTCGATCAAGAAGTATCTATTATTTTATGTGTGACTGACTTTAAAGACGAACATAGCACTACATAAAAAGGGTAGAATATTTATAGCTCTTGTTTTCAACACACTGGATTTTTTATCAAATTATCATACTGTGAAATATACCTACAAACTATCCTACATTTCAACATTATTGGCAACTAAGAATTTCGCAACATAATTCACTGTGTCAAAGGCAAAGGCCTTTTGTTTTTATGATGAATAACAAAGAAATGTTTATTTATTTTATTTTATACTGAATATTGTTTGTTTTTTTTTACTTTTTCGAGCCCATTCAGGGCTTCTTGTAGACCTGGAGTTCAAATTATCAACCATCAGGATGGTGGTAAGCCAAAAAGAATACGACGTTGCTATGGAAATTGGTGTAAATATAGTTATTACATAGAGGAGTGGTTCTAAAACCGTGTTAAGCAGAACACCGGTGGTCCATGAACTCCGCTTAGGTGGTCCGCTGGTCGGGGAACAATATAGAAACGATACAGTCAGCATTAAGATCATTAAGTGGTCCGCCATGACCAACAGCAATCATTTACTTGTCAGCAGACACCTTCAGTAATGTTCGTATGATCACGATCAACCCCTCCTACTGTGTGTGTATGTGTGTGTGTGTGTCTCTGTGTGTGGTTTTGATTTTTAACGTAGCTTTAACAAGTTGTCAGTCATGTCGCTACGATGCGCAGTGTGACAATTTATAGTGATGTCTATCGCTGGTGCATCATGTCGCAGACATGTACCTTGATGTCCCACCCAGTTACATTATCTTGACACTAGGCCGGCCAGTCCAAACGCAAACCTTTTAGAGCTGAGAGCCAAGCGAGGCAGCTGTAAGTACCATTTTTGTAAGTCTTTGGTATGTCTCGATTGGAGATCGAAACCACGACCTCCCACATCCGAGGCGAACTCTCTAACTACTAGGCCACCGGAGCGGTATCCCCCTCTCCCAAAGAAAAACGTTTGAGAACAATACATTGTAGATGCCACTCCTTGAGCAAGAATGTCATTAAACTTTGCCACACCAAATATTATAATGTAACTCACGTCGCGTGTCTACTCCACGATATTTGGCTGAACGAGACATTCAAGAATATTATTAAAATTAAAAATATACCAAATTGATCTATGTTGTTAATTTTTTAGATACTCTTTATTGTTCTCAATGAGGCTTTCACATTAGCTCTTCCAAAAATGAGGAAACTTAGACCAAGCTATAAAGCTGTATATACCTCTATATCGAAAATCTGAAGATAAATTCGATGGGAAACTGCCATAATAAATAAGCAGAGGTACATTTGTATCCCATGTTCATGATATGTGTGGGGGGTTGTCCGAGTGAACATTGCGTTAATTGCGTACAATTGGCAAGTAAGATCTTTTCCTTAGTGGTTGGCTATATGGTTTCTGCGAATTTGCCAAAAATGCCACGTACGTATCAACATTTAGCGTTATGGAAAATATAGTTCTCATTTGAGATAGGATTATAGTGTCTTTTTGCAGAGAAAGAGTCCATTGTACATAAATAAAAATGCATCTTATTCGGTATAAAAGCAGAAATGTTTGTTTTAAGCTAAATCAATATTGTAAATTAGCAGAAAGGATAAGGTGTTATAATGGGAATTTTCAATTAGGATTACGCTGTAAATCTGGTGTTTGCTTGTATGCACATGATGCATTAGTTTTATACAATGAACACTCCATTACTGGACATAAGAGCTGAATTTCAAAAAATCATTAGATCGCATACATATACTTGGCTATCCCATCAGTCACCATCACCACAAAAAGAGTATCTGGATATAAAAAGCGCTTCTGTGATTCACTCGCTGAAATTCATTATGTTACTATTGTCTTCTCTATAGTGGTAAATTATTAATCATCTTTCCTCTCTGATACCGGTGACAACTTAAGTGGTATGGGTGGATGAAACTACAGTAATTAGTCTCGTCAAAACCAACTTATCGCGTGGCTCGGTAAGATGTCTGGTAAAGCTGTAGAGAAACATTTGCAAAGTCAAAACGAGGCATACCAAAACACGATCTGGTAAAGTCGATGATTGGTTGGCAAGTTGACCAGCGTTTTAGTGTTGGTTACCTCTTGTGGATTTAACGCTATTTTCTGTCCATTGATATGCTATACATGGCGGGCAATATATTTGGTAGAGGATGAATTCGGCAATACTCGTTTGGGATAAGTGATATTTAGAGCCACATTCTATTATATAAATAAGAGATTAAGATCAGGTCGCTGGCCGTACGTAGGCTGCTTGTGCTTGCCACAGAATAACTCAAGATTTCTCAAAATACCCAAGTCGAAACTAAAACTCATGCTGATATTTGTGAGGCATGAGAGATCTGTAAAGGCGAGAACCTTAGACCACTTGGCCAGCCTGGTGTCCATTCAAGCGTTATCAACAAAAAAAAAATCTTAGATCACATTAACACACTGAAAAGATATAAAATACAAAATCCAAGGTGATACATTCAATGAATTCGTCAGACTACGGCGGTAAGTTGCACAATACATGGAAGGGACACGCATTGTCCGCTTCTGTAAGATATATTTTACCGCATCAAAATTCCACTAAGATTATGTGTCCGTTTAGGGCTTATGCACATGTACTGCTAATGTACTAAATCGTTTAGATGGTGAATGTTTTAAACAGAATAAGAAAGTTAAGAAAAAAGGAATTGCTTCCTGAGTTACGTAAGAATCTGGTTAATCAAGACTGTAAAGTTCTGGGGTTGGTGGTGGTTAATGCTATTTTCAGCAATTCATACGCTTTACATGGCAGCTAGCAAATTTGATGAGGGAAAAGAGCCAATGAAAAACCACCAACCATTGGAAGCTGCCTGAAAGTTTTCGCACATACCAACGCCGGTCAAGCCAATACTAGATAGGTGAGAGGTGTGATTGACCCTGTAGACCACTCATCCACAGGGTACCCCTAAAGACTGTACAGTACTAAAAGCATACGAACGTAATAGAGACACTCAGGAGAATACTGTTCAAAATGTGCCATGATGCTTTTCCTGCATCAGTCTAAAAACCGACCTACTTTAACTGAATTTCATCAAAAGGTGAGGAGCCAATCTGATGATGCATATACACAAACACAAATGTATGGATAATGCAGTTCCCCTTCTGTTACTGCAGTCGAGCTACAAAAGCCTATTGTAATCGGGCTATAAAAGCTTACATCACTACAGATGCTGTATGCTTCCCATGCTTATTGCTATTATTGGATTGTTTCTTTTTCTAAAGCTAACATTGAATGAATGAATAATGTAAAGAATGAATGAGTTTGCTGTTATTTCTTTGGGGTTCTTTTGGTACGTTTATCTTCTTTTTTTTCTAATATTAATTCATTCATTCAAGGTATGCATTCATTATTTATTCGTTTATTTTTCATCCATTTCTGCATATATCTATCATTACTAGCATTAACCCCTTTTTACTACTCAGTGATCGTGTTAGGATTCCGTGGTAATTGCCAGATAGCACATAATATAAAAGCTTTGACAAGGATGTTTTATGGACGACAACGCAATGATACAAAAAAAAATAGAGCAAATGGTACGAGCCATAGTGAAGGTTTTAAAATTAAGAGGTCTGAAGTTCTATTCCGCGATAAAACAAAAATTATGGGTTCGGTGCAAAGTAGGCCGATAAATCAGCCCCACGCGCGTGATGATATTAACTAGCATTTTAGGGGTTGATATTGCCTAGTCATTAAAACGTGCAAAAATCTGCAGTCAAGATTTTACCACGCACCTCAGTGTGCATTTTGCAAACTTACCGGTATTTCTTTTTGCTGTGGAACTCCCGTAGGCTCAAGGGATATTTTTTTGTTACATGTACATCATATTTCAGAAGCCAATCAATAAATCCATGTGGAAAAGAACAACCCTCTACCCTCTATCATGTGGCTAGTTCGAATTTCGTGCTAGATTAGGATGTCACCAAATACAGGAAAGTGTCTATAGTGTATGCAGATGTGTTCCGGAACGATCTGCATGCAGCCAAATTGCACATTTTAATGAACACGTTACATCACACCTACATAGCATCCATCAATACAAACACATATATTTTTCTTTCCTTTTGTTTTTGGGGTGGAAGATATCGGATTAGTGCAAAGTATTACAACAAATGACATGGCATTGGTATTCTGATGCCAAGGAGAAGACTAACTTGTAATTAAACTCACCCAAGGGCGTTTCGTACTTTCGTTTCAGTCTCATAACTATTTTTCACACAATCTAAAAGTTTGCAAGAAAAGACTCATAATTACTAAGGTATAACTAGTGCTCGACTGCAAGAATTTAATGTATCCTTTTAGAAATTTTCACTGACAATAAATAAACTTGCAAATAAAAGATGTGACATAAAAATATGCGTCCTTCCTTAATGTCCGCTTCAATCCGTTACTGTATATTTATTTATTTTCTTTGCGTGCAGTTAAAACTATTTTTCTCCAAACACGAAATAAAATCTATATGAATCAGGCGACTTAGCTTTCGTGATAATACTTTCGAAATAGAGAAAATCTCTTTATATATCTCTCTCTCTCTCTCTCTCTCTCTCTCTCTCTCTCTCTCTCTCTCTCTCTCTCTCTCTCTCTCTCTCTCTCTCTCTCTCTCTCTCTCTCTCTCTCTCTCTCTGATCTTCTGTCAAAACTATTTTCGGACATAATAACCTTGTAATCATTTTCTAATGCGTGCAAATTGCCTATTATTACCCCTGACGGTAACGGTGACGTTTGCTTGATCCTGTTCATCCGGCAGCTTGATGCCTTTACCGCTCATTCAGCCGTAATATTTTATGATAATCCCCATCACCAAGTGACGGTGAAAGAAATAAAAGAAAGGCAAAATGACTATGAAAATACGGACAACAGATTTTGATATAAATGCGCAGAAATACTTTTCACGATGGAATGATCCAATACCTTTTTCCGCCCGATATGGTTAACGGCCAAAACCATATGGAACTCTCCACGAATAAAAACATCAAAGGCCGTCAGCACATATGCAGGCTCATTCAGTTACAATGGCGGCTCGGACCACTTTGGACTGGTCTTTGGTATCCACTTTGTTGTTCATGTTTATGTCTTTTAAGGGAGTATCAATTTAATGTTTATAACGTTTGGAAATTGATGTAGGCATGGAATTTCCGTTTAAAAGAACTTTGAAATTCTGCCCGATAAAATTATATTCTTTTTCCATGACAAAGTTTTGATGTAGACCAACTGACTATCCGTTTGAAAAGCAAGTTTACGTTTTACATAGCAGCCGAAGACATCTAGGGTTGTCTTCCACACCCACTACCCTTTAAGAGTACAGATATATGTTTTGCTTAACCGACAAGGACATCGACAACCGGTATTATTTCCTACAACAGTCAAAACGACCTATCAGTACACCAGTCAAAACAACCTATCAGTATAACAGTCAAAACTACCTAACGGTACAACAGTCAAAACTACCCATCAGTACAACAGTCAAAACTACCCATCAGTACAACAGTCAAAGCAACCTAACAGTACAACAGTCAAAGCAACCTAACAGTACAACAGTCAAAACTACCCATCAGTACAACAGTCAAAACTCTATCAGAGCTTTTCCATATTTGTTTGCGATCAAGAATGAAACATGAAATATGTTTTCAGCTACTTGAGCTATATTTTTGTCTGCATGATACAGGTGTAGCTAAATGTGTTCACTTTGAATGGGTTGGAATTAAGTGCTTAATTTTTAAAACATTGACATCATCATCAAATTTCTTGAAAACTAAACTTGCTCTCAAGGAATTTGTGTGACGTGTATAACATATTTAACTGAGAAATTCTTAATATTTTGTTATATATTTCATTTTAAGCAATTGATGATTACGTCTATATTGAAATGCTGCAACAAACAAGTCAGACTAA